CCCCCCCCCAAAAAAAAATAATTAGCGCAAAATCATACTTTTCTGCATACATTAAATATGAAAACTTATAGTAAAGAATCTATGTGTGATTTTTTTTTTACCAACCCAAAAGGTTTTGAAAAGCTGAAACTGAAAATCTACATCTGAATTTTTTCTGATGCAACAACTTTTTTAGCACATCTGCACACACTTCTAACATACAGTATACTCAAAATACATCTTGTTAGTCTTGAATACCCAACAAGACACTCTAACCCGTTTATTCATACAAAGATATTGAACCTTTACTCATCTTGTCATGATCCAAAACTCCACTATGAGACTCCACTGTAATCTAGGGCTGTGTTGCTGCTGTGGATGATCAAACCTACCTCTGATAGAGAACAGGCAATTCATCCCTCAGCTCGTTATTTATTTCTTCAAAGACATTCTGGGCTTTGTTGAACTCTTCATCTGCCTGATAAAGAGGATTTGAGAGTATTTTTTTAAAAAGCTATTACAGTTTACAGAAACTACTTTCTGTGCCACGTGTACTGAAACGCTAACCTTTGCTATTTTGGCTTCATCCTTTTTCTTGGCACTCTGTAGCGCTTCCAGGTGGTGTCGTGCAGAATCGTAGTCCACCAGCTTGCGACCGCGTTTAGCCACTCGTTCCTAAAACACAGACCAGAGTTTCTAAACGTGTCGTCCAGCAGTAAGAGGATGGATGAAATGAGTCAGAAATCAGACAGGTGCTATGCAAGAGGCCCACAGGCCGTTCAAGTATTCAGGTTTATAGGCATCAGCTTACCTTGACCTCAGGGAACTGGCTTGTATAGTTCTCCATGGTGCGGACTATCTGGTCAGTTAGTTTCTCTTCGTAGTCGTTCCACAGCAAGTCTTCACTCTAAGAGACACAGTTTGAACCACATCAATGCAACTGTGACAACGTTCTGTAAATCATCAAAGGTTTCCAACCTTTCCCCTTAAGGGACCATTTCTCTGTCATTGTTAACGACCCCTGACTAAGTGACA